TTCAGAGACAGCAGAGAAAATGATTTCGGCATGTAATATGTTTTCTTGTGTATTTTAGGCTCCTGAATTGGGAAATGACCTTGGTTTTCCTTCTTTCATGCAAAAATGTCCCAGCAACTTGAATTTTCCTCGAAAATGTCTGGTTTTTGTGAAATGTTTTGATTTTCTGGAGAAATGGTAAGGACAGGGAAAAACGAAGGTCATTTTCAGACCAGCACTAAAATTTATACAAGAAGTAATCATCTAAACCCTGGCGTTTTTTTCCGGAACAGACCTGTTTCATTTGAATGAAAACTTTAAGAATAAATCCATTTTTATTTATTTATTTATTTATTTATTTGTGAAGATTAGTACATTAGCCTGAACAGAAAGGCTCAATACAAGTCACATTAGAAAAAGTTACAAAAAAGAGTAATTTTACAAATTTAAAAACTCTTGCAAGGTGTAGAGAGGGTTTTGTAAAATGTGTTCTTTTAATACCTTAATGAACAAATTTGGCGACTCAGCATTGATAAAAATTTCTTTCAATACGTATTTTTTTGTACAATTCTGGAAAGAACCCATCCTTGATGCCTTCATTTTCTAGTAAAATTCGCGATTTAGAGGTCATAAATTTAACAATGCGGTCACAAAGGGAAAAATTCTCTCAGACATAAAAATGTTCTGAAAAGCGCATCTTCTACCAGGAAATAACAAACAATTGAGCTCAGTCTAAAGCGCGCGCGCGCGGGGTGGGGAAAGGAGGAGGTAGGAGGGGTACCTGCTTAAAACCTTTGATTTGAATTTTTGATGTACATTCGAATTTCATTAAATTGGAATTTAAATTGAAATGGTATTATTTATCTGCAAGCCTTTTTAAGGCTAGGTACATGCCATATATTTGCATTGTAAGAAATAGAATATTTACATTGTGCATAACTTGGAGAAAAAAGTATAAATAAAGTATAATCATGTGACAAAAGAGGTTTAATTTTCTGGTATTTTAGGGTATATTGATAGGTTGTTCGGTAAATTTTTTAATTGTGTATCTAGGACAGCATAATAATGTGTCTTTGAGAGCAAAACTAAATTTTTCCGATCCCTCATTCTTTAATAGTAACCTTAGGGGTTCCGGAGAGCGTTAAAGAGGTTTAGGGCAATACTTTTCATGAGGTATTTATCTTTTTTCGTTACATGACTGGTTTTCCTGTGAAAGTTGTGCCTTGTATCATGCTGGTAGATTGGAAACATGCCCTCTTGACTTAAATGTCCCTTTTTCAAAGCTGTTGTTATTAATTCGTACATATGTGCATTCAGGACTGTCAACACTCTAAACCTTTGTCACAGGTACGGCATTACCTATAACCTTAAGTTTCTTAACTTCAAAATTTTCCTTTGAACTTCTAACTTTTTCATTCAAATTTAAACTAGTCATTAGGGATGGCTGGATTTTGTCCACTTTTCATCTTTTCACTTTTATCTTCCAGCCATCACCTATAAAATTAATGAATAGACTTGCAACTGATAGCTCCACTGATTATAGCTAGCTAATTGCATATAAACTTGCTGTCTCGCCACTGGTGACTTCATCAAGTTTATAAAAGCGTGTGCTGCCCCTTTCTCATGGTATTTTACCAACTTGACATACGTGTATGTAACTTGACATATGTACATATGTGCCCTCTCTTGCCCTTCTGGCACGAGTGTGAATTTTCCATCTTGGTAAAACCTTAACTCTCTTCCAAATTCGCTCTAATACAAACTTTCGGCCCAAAAACTCTTTTGTTCGATTTCTGCTCTCCCACAACCCTTGCTATTTCTAGTGTGCGTTATAAGGACTTTTTTTGATGTTTCAGTCCGTATAAAACTCAACCAACTCTTAAAATGTGACATGATACCAAAACCCGTGTCACAGAACCTTAAAACGTGAACGACTCTCTACAGGGATGATTCCATGGCTTCCCATCAATGATTCGTAAGCTCTTTTTTTTAATAATAATATGTTTTCGGCAGTTGGGCAATTACCCCAAAGTGTTATGCTGTAAAGAATGATAGATTGGAAGTTTGAGTGATAATAGGTCATGAGTGTTTTCTTATCCATAATTTTCGCCAGGTTTCTTAGGATAAATATTTGTTTACTCAGTCTCTTTCCAATAATAACTATATGGGTTGTCCAGGTGAGCCTATCGTCAATATTCAGGCCCAGGTATCGACTACTGTTTACGATTTGAATAGAGATGTCATTAAATCTAAAGTTATCAAATTATAACAAGTGTGGATTGAAATTGATAATGAGGGTTTTTTGGAAATTAATGTTAATCTTATTTGCCCTGCACCATTCTATGAAAAGTTTGAAAACACAAAATAGTTTTTCTAGAATGTTTCTCCCTTTGATTATTATGTTTGTATCATCTGCGAATATTACTATTGATAGGAACACAGCAAAATTTCTTAGGGCATCCGGTAAATCATTAATAAATATCAAGAATAATAATGATCCAAGGATTGCTTCTTGCGGAATTCCACATTCGGATTGTTTCTCACTCGACACATAATTATGTTGCTTTTATTTTATTTGAGTTACGTGCTTTCTTGCTGTTAAGTACGATCTCATCAATTTCAGACTTTTTTTTTACCCAGTCCATAGTATTTAAGTTTATGTAAAAGGATTTCATGGTCTGTCAGGTCAAATGCTTTTTGAAAATCAATTTGTAATGATATTACAGATTCCTGGTCGGCTGTTGAGTAAACTTGGTCGATAAAAGTTTGCATTGCATCTGTTGTGTTAAACTTGTACTCAGGCAAATGGTGTATGGAAAATCACAAATAAGCAATTTCAAAAGCATGCACTGGGTAATGAACTCATGTCAGTCATTTACTTTAAGATCGGTTAACTTACGGCTTTTCCAGTCAAGATAATCAACAGGCACATGTTTTTCAGTCATTAATTTGTAAACACCACAATCCGGAGTGCTATTGAAATCACCGCACAATATCACAGAAGTTGTCAAGTGTGGGTCCTAAGAGAAAACAATTAAGAATTAAAAGGAGAAAAACAGTAAAATCAACAAATTTTCTAATTAATAGAAGAATTTGCATGTATAAGTAGGTTGTATTTGGAAGGGAGACTGAATAAATGAATGAATAATCTTGCAATGGAATTTGTAGAAATTTTGATACCCATCAATACCTAAAAATAAAACCATCCCAGTACTACTGAATACATTTTCGCATGAGGAGGCAAGTCTGTCGCAATGTTTCAAAATTACCGCAGACAGATTATTTTGAACAGATGTGTAGTTGAGCAGATTACCACGAGGAAAAATAGAGAACTTCTTTGTTAAAATCAAGAAAATTCAGTGAAAAGTATGAGGATATTTTCTTAGTCGTTAGGCTTGGTAAACTGAATAAAAATGAAGTGTTCTTGACCAAGTTCCATTGAAACTGCGCCCAAATGCAAAAAATGAATTCAGTTGATCTATACATGAATTACTGCACAACTATATACTTCTGTGTCTGACTCATTTGTATTTAGTTTAGTTAATAAAACATAAAAAAACCTGGGATGCTGACTGGATCAAAAAATATGAGTAATTAATAGATGAAAACTGAATATTTCTTACCGAAAGTTTGATTTTACTAACAACATCATTAATGTACGCTATTGATAATCCTGCTTGGAGAAGACGGATGTGATCAGCAGCTGGCTGGAAATATAAGTGTGTGTTTCCAACTATCAGTCGATGGTTCGGCCTATCAAGGACTTTGAGCACAAGCACCTGAAAAAGTATAACATTTTAGAACATTTTTTTAGGATGCACTTAAGAGGGAAACTCACACATAAACATGGACGAATTTTATCTTAATATAATCCTGAATTGGTATGATTCCAGGAAACTCAACCTTAAAACACACAAAAAATCCTTGAGTAAAGTCTTTCATGTAATATTTCATGAGGGGGTCTCCAAAGTTTATTAATGATGGGATGGAGGGGCCTATACACCGAGTTTTTCAAAAGACAACATCTCCATCATCATTTAACATAGACAAGAGTTGATAATCTTAAGACAAGAAAAATTTTTGTTCAAATTAAAAGTCAAATTTTCCTTAACATTCCAATTTAGAAATTGTCACTCTCAGAAAATTGTCACTCATCAAACAGGTCAACACAGAGGGTACGTTGATCATAGTTTCATCAATATTTTAACATTTTGCTTCCTCAAATAATTAACAAGGCACAGTTACGAATTAAATAAATAATATTTGAGCTGTAAATGAAGATAAAATATAGAAAAATCTATACAATATTTTAACCAGCCTGCTGCAATCTTTTGAATCCTAAGATTTAGAAGATTATTCACTAACTAGACATCAGACACTTGCCAAAAGTTTACTGTTTGTCTCTGCTACAAA